TTTTTTTTTTTTTTTTAATTTCTATGACATTAAATTCCTTGACTTATAGAATATTAGGCTATTTCTGTTCCTTTTTTGTTTTATCAAATATTATCATGCCTTTTTTTTTTTTAGAAAGTGATATACAATGTTGTAGAGATTAGTGTTATGTATAATAGCCAGTCTGTAGCTATAAAGAAAATATGGTATTGCAACATACTACCTTCCCTCCTCTCTCCCCACTCGTAGGTAACATTAAGCAATTCTTGGATTACTTTTTGCCAACAAAATCTTTCTGAATACTTTGAGAATGATAAAGTAGTGTGCTGCCTCTGGACTCTGACAGCTGTAATAAAAGAAATCTTCAAAGATACTTGCTTACAAAAACCAGGTAGGACTTACTTGTCTTTTGATAAGTGATTGCTGTTATATCTTGCTCTCGAAGAGCATTTTTACATTTATAACAAAAACCAGAACTTGTTTTACAAAGTCTAAACTCCTCAGAAACCCTATACAGGGTCGCTATGGGTTGGAATCGACTCGACGGCACTTAACAACAACAAAGTTGTCTAAATATATAAAACTAAAGAATCCCTCCCTACAATTTTTCAACTGAGTATATCTATCTTCTAAAAGAAAAATTCTCAAAGGAAAACAATTAAAGCTTTTCATTATTAGTATTCCTCACGTAGTCTGACACTGTTTATATTTATAAAATTGATGATAATAGTGGTTATTAGTTGTTGATCTTCATTGCTATTTGTTCATGTTAGAGGTAATCCTAATCACTTTTCATTTTGTGAATTTCTGTTATTACTCATTTGTAAGTATGGTTTTAGAATATGAATAACATAGTATAGTATATTTATAAAAATTGGATTGTAAAAGTGTGCCTTTATTTTCCTTATGTTTATAGTTACTATTTTTATCATTCCAGAAATCCTGAAGCAGTTCCTGACTCCTTTTAATACTACTTTTGAAGCATTTTACAATTCCTTATTTTCTCAACGTTTTGAAAATTGCCAAGAAACTTCTAAACTAATAAACAGCTTGGTGTGTTTCCTGGAGTTGCTTGAACTTCTTACAGCCTCCGGAATCTACCTGGAGCTCCAGTTCACCTGCCAGCGCCTTTTCTTTTTGAATCCTTCTCTCTTGCTAGATGTTCCTACCTGGCCTGCACCAGCTTTCATCAGAAGGAAGTTCATCATCTTCATTAAGAAGTGCTTTCTCTTCAAAGTGGGCGAAGACCTCTTTCGTGGCTGTGTTCCTATATCAGTGCCACCACCACAGGATCTTTTAGGCATGGACATGTTGGCTTTAGCGAATGCTGTTTTACAAGCTGTGAGTTTCGGGTGGTTGAAAGCAGTGTTGTCTGTTCATGGAAAACCTTCCTGCTTTGGAGGCGATGCCATTCATCCTGGATGTGAAAATAACTCTGCTCCAGATTATGTGATCCTTAGAGCAACCACCTTAGTTTTACTTAAATCCTTAGAAATCAAGTTTCAAAATTTTACTGCACCAAATGAAATACAAGGTAATTCTCTGAAATCCTTCTTAGGTAATTAATAATTATTAACTTCAGTAAAATAAATCATAATAACCAGATCTCAGGGCCAGTATAAATTCTCCTAATCTGTTTAAGCTAGTTGTGTTTTGGAGTCTCTGTGTGGTTCTGCAGAATAAGCACTGAACTGCTAACCACAAGGTCAGCGGTGGTTCAAACCCACCAGCCATTCCTTGGGAACCTTATTCAGGGTTGTCACGAGTCAAAACTGACTCAGTAGCACTGAATTGCAGCAGGAATGTTTTGTTAGGTTTCCTTCAAAAAAACAGAGAGAACTATATTGCCTTAAGAAGCAATCTGTTTTTTATGGCCTAAACTGAATTTATAGAATGAATTTATATTTCTATCATAAATAGCTTGGGTTAAGAGAAAAAAACCTACTGTTTTGTCCCCTCAAAATACGTGATATAAATTAACTGAAATTCGGTTATTTGTAATTTCTTGCTGATGTTATAGTAACCCTGGTGGCACTGTGATTAAAGTGCTGGACTGCTAACTGAAAGGTCTGAGTAGGAACCCAGACTCCAGCAGTGACTCCTTTCAGAGTACAAACATGGTTAATGCACGATGTACAGCCCTGGAGACCTTAGAGTGCACTTTGGCTTTGTCTGGTACGGTCACTGAACATCAGAACTAACTGTGGTCTGGTATTCATATTCTCCTCCAAAAAATAGTATGCCTACTAATGTAGATTACTGTTGATTAGAAATTAAAACCAATGTATCACAAGTTAGCTTGACAAAGAAATCATTGCATGTATAGTCTCTTGGATGTAAAGTCCAAAGAAAACCCTTTACAATGTGCTATTCTGTTTTAATGTTAGGGGGAACATCTCCCCATTTCACTTGAGAAAACCCAGGAGTCAGTATCTGTAAATAAGCAGCATCAGAATTAAGGGTTTTCTTTGATTTAGAAGCACTGACTTCCTTGAATTTATGTCATTTAGCTTTGGAAGCTACACATTTGATAAAATTCTGTGCAGTTGTAATATAAAACACTAGGTGGCATGTTTTATGTAGTTGAGAGATTGAAACGGTGAAGACTGGTTGTCTTTTGCATCCATATTTTTAACAGTAGTACCTTTTTTTTCTAATGCTTTAAGCAAACAGAAAATTCTTTCTGTTATTTGGGAAACAGTTATTTATGTTTGGTTACATCATTGTTTCCAGTAACACGTAGTTGTAACGTCAAATGAAGTGATTTCTGTTATTACTCAGTTGTAAGTATGGTTTTAGAATATAAATTGTTGTTGTTGTTATGTGCCGAGGAGTCAGTTCCGACTCAGTGACCCTGCACAGGGTTTCCAAGGCTGTAAATCTTTATGGGAGCAGAAAGCCTCATCTTTCTCCCACGGAACAGCTGGTAGTTTC